TCCGTTCCACCGCACCTCGCCTCGCCTTGTCTCGTCTCGACAACCTATCTGCTCGTCTCTTTGTGTAACGAGGTTACCGCGTCGTCGTCTATGCTTCCGACTTGGAATAGCACCGCATTCCTGCGACGACCTCGCGAGGTCGCTGATTCCCCACGCGGTGCGCGGTGCGCTAATTAAAATTGTTTATTTGCTTTCGTTCCGTCCCCTCGTATCTCGTCCGTGTCCGGTTTTGCGTTTCGAGCCGCTCGGCCGGAGCAAAGTTCCAGCCGAGCCAGATGAAGCGTGCAAACGTCTGGAGCAGGGTTCGAGCGTGAACAAGAAAAAAGGGGGACTCCTCTCCATTCGGTGGAAGGCTGGTCAAGCCCGAGGCACCCCTAGCTCCTCGGTCCTGGATCCTGCCGCTGAAAGAAAGTGCCCCTACCGCGAGAGATCGAGGTCGAGACTTTGCGCGTCGATACTCTTTTACGACCGCGGTCTACCGGCGGACCGTCTTTCTCTCCGTCTCATCCTCTTCGAGGATTCCGTTGCTCCTCGCCGCGGTGGGCCAGCGGGGAGAGCTGAAAGAGGAAGCTGCGGACGAGTCGAAAACGTTCCCCCGAAACTGTGCAAGGTCGAGGACCATCCGCGGAAGGAAGATGCCTCGGTGCGTGTCCCGAATGACTCGTCGATCGTAAGAAACCGCCGAAGAGAAATCTTGGAATCGGGTCGCGCGATGGTCACGCGACACAGTTAATTCGCTTCTAATATTAATCATCCGCCGCGTTGCCGTGTATTTTCTTACTCCGGGTGAAAGACAGAGATAGAACGCGCGACGGGGCGGGAGGGAGAGTGAGAGAGACAGAGAGAGGAGGGGAGAGTATAAAAACTCGTTGCCAAAAAAGCAACAACACGATTTTAAAGGTTCAGATATGCCGCGTAATCGCGTGACAAAGAGGCACGCGTCGATGTTTACGAAATTCCTTTCGGAGCAACAAGTCGCGACACCGCTGGTCGGCCGATTTCTTTCCGAAAGCAACAACTTTGCCCGGAATGCTCGGCGGAAAGAATATTTTCGTCGAAATCCCCGTAAAAAGACGAAGAAAAGTGGACGGAATCGCGGTCCGGTCACGGCCAGTCGCGCATTCATCCTCCATTTTGCTCGAGTGCCGTTTTCCTCTGCGATCTTTTTGTTTGCCAATCGCTGGAAGTGGGTAGCGAGTGTACTCTCGTTGCCGGCCGCAATAATATAGGCCACCAGCTACGATGTTTGTTGTCGTTACACGTGCCGACGTGGTACGCGTTATTTGCACGTTAAGCCGCCGCCGCCGCCGCCGCCGCCGCCGCTGCATCGATATCGATTGCACGTACGTATTACGCCGCGATGCAATTATGTCGGGGCATTTTTCGAAAGATAAATTACAAAGGAGAGTACCGGAGTTCTTATCGCGGCGAGCGAGACGTGACGATTCTTCGAAAAACCTTAATAGCGGTGATCTTCCAGGCCGCGTCTCTCTCCAGCGACAAAAATGCATCATCGCCACGCGTATTATTATATTCGTCCGGCGGTGTCGTAGCGTTCGCCGTAAATGCTAACTAACAGCTGCTCCCAGCTAAACACCTGCAGCACGCTCGAGATTTATACCCTAACCGGTCGGATCGTTTTTGGCTGGAGGGTAACGCGCTTCTGCACCGGAGCGAGCGCGCTCGCAGAGCGCGCGTTACCCAACGGCGAGCCTTTCGATTCGTACTAACCGTACGTGCGTTTCGTGGAAACGATTATTCGGATTGTTTGTTGAAGCGCGAGCTGCATTCGCAACCGCCGATGCAACAATGTGTTACGTGTTACAGGTCAGCGGAATGCAAACAGCCGCGGAGCGATTCCGCGAAAACGCCTTAATCGCGCAACCGTCTCGAAACGATTCGAGCGAAATGCAAAGCGAGCGACACCGATGTCGCGACGCGATGCTGGCGCAATTGCGCGACGAGCCTCGGTCGCGCGTCCAATCTTCGGTTCGTCGAAGCGGAGATAAGTGGGAACGGAATCGAGCCGTTCGAGCATCGCGCCGCGAATCGCCGGGCCGACGCCATAAACGTCCGCCGGAAAGGAGTCTCGGTGTAAATATTATGGCTATATCGGCCTATAGGTCGTTATTCGCGAATGTAAATAAACTGGAGCAAACGCGCTCGCGCGCGCGAGCTCGCGCGCCATTCCTTTCCTACCAATTAAGCGATTCTGCGCCCGCGTTCGATACTCGGTCTCGCCGTATACCGGGCCTTTATTGCCCGCAACGTTTGCCCTCGCGACTCTCGAACGTCTCCCGCGCGTTCGTCACGGTCTCAGCGTTTCGCGTCGATTTACTTTTGCCCAGCGCGCCGACAAAGGGAACATTTACGTTCCTCCTATCTGGATCGTTAACGCGATCACGCGCGCCTCGACGCGGATCACCGCGAAGGTCAAGTCCGCGGCTTTTCCGCCGTCGCTTTCCTCCTCGACGTGACTCAGGGTACAGTTATCATCGGGACGACGTTATCCGTCCGCCGGATGCATCGCGGTGCATCGAGAAACTAAAGCAAACTTTCCGCGGCGGCGCGACCGCACAGGTCGAAAATCAGACCGTCGCGCCTACTCCGTGAATCACAGCCGTGGTATTTCCCTGCGCAAACATCGGGGCCCGAGAAAACACGGCCGCGGGAGAGCTCGGGCCAACTATGCGCCGACTATCCGCCAACACGGATAAATTTCGAAAAGTTCCAAAAGCCTGACTCACGGGACGAACGAATTTCTCGCGCGATCGCAGGTGTCGCGCGGTGAAGATGCAGCCGCGATTACGCGGCGCACAGTCAGACCTATTCACGCGCGGCCGGGCCGAGCCAAGAAGAGGCAGGGACCGGCCGAGAAGCAAATTCGATCGGCGGAACGATACTTTTTAGTTGCGGAGCGGCGGGACGCGGGCGGTTGCTTTTTACGGTATCGGGTCGCGTCTTAGAATACACGGAGACAGGTGGGGGGGCAGAGGAGTTTAGCGTGGCTTGAAAATAGATTGTGGTCGGAGCCGAGTATGCGGAGATCGTCCGCTATGCACTCGTCGCTCGATATTTCGGCGGTCGCAACCGGCGAGCCTCCGTTCGAGAAATCATAGGAAACGTACGGACCGAAGCCGGACGCTTATCTTATCGGCGGCCGATCCTCGAATTCGTTAAGCTCGGAGCACGCGTCACGGAACGTGACGAATCGCGACGGAAAAGCCGATCGGCGCGCCGGTAGCTCTGGTTACGTTCTCCGAGGAGAACGCCTCTCCGATTGGAGCGCGAACGAGGCAGCGCGACAGAAACGGGCATGCCATCTGGAAAGTAACGGTAACGGCACCTGCAATTAGCGCGACAGCCCGGCTGTGTGCCTACTTGTTGGAGCGTTGCATCGCGATCCGGTCGTCGATGACCTTCCGTCGAGGGGGGAAAACGAGATCCCAGGGCGCATAGCAGTTAGTGCATCTACTCGCAAAAAGATCACCTGGCATCCGGTTCGTCGTATTCCTCGGCCTTCCAGACGATCGCGATCCGAAAACGTGCGTCGAACTCGCCGCGCGTTTCACTTTTTACGCGAGAGATCCCGAAAATCGCCGGGAAAATTCCCAACCTGCGATTCGGCTGTTGCTTCGCTGTCTTTCCCTGGACTCCCGTATGATTTTCATTAGGTTTTCTTTGGATTTTCGTAGTATCGTCGTTGAATTCTCGTTGAATTCCCGTCGGAGCCGCAATTACGCAGGATGATCGATACTGTGAAGATTTTCCGTCGGCCTCGAGGGAGTTTCGGGTCGCATTTCGCTGCGTTCCATTCCGTAGGACGCAGCTGCCCGCAGACAAGCAACAGCTGTGCCCTCGTCGGATCTCGCGTCCCTTTCTGTCGTGGCCCGGTCTCTTTCCAGCCGTCTTTCGCCTTTCAGGATGCTTCCCATGCCGTACCGAAGCGCGTCTTTTCACTTAACATAACAATACTCCCCTTTGAGGCGAAGGATGCAGGTTTGGTAAGCCCCGGGCCCCGCGATCGCGTTTCCTTCCACGTTCGGAACGGTATCGGGACCGTCGAACGGGAGTTGCCCGAAAGATTTCCTGTTTTGACGGTCGAAACGTCGTTCGTCCGGCCGAGCGGGAAGACATCGTGACTCGGCGAGGCTCGGACCGCGGGCACGACGTCTTATTAACATCCCTTCTGCGCGATGACGGCGATTATCGCCGATACAGATACAGCGGATGATAAAGCGGTCGTGGCGTTCCGTGTCGAGGGCTCTTCAGCTTCCCGTCGCCTTAATTATGTTTATCAGCTCGTTCGATCGGAACGGTCGCCAACGGTGATCACTGTCGGATCGTCGCGGACCGGGCCTCCCTCCTCTCGCGCGCACGGGGATGAGCGAGAGGGCAGGAGAGAGAGGGAAAAAAGTGCAGTGGCTCGATCTTCACGGGTGAGAAAATACGATGGTATGCCGCGCGCGCGTTGCATCGCCGAACAAACGTTGCCTTCTTCTCAAGGTCGTCGTGATCATTGCCCGTTCACTGCCGCGCTGCTCGCTCATCCGATCGATAACTCTCTTCCCGAGTTCGTGTTCTACGACTCGGAGGAAGCCACCCAGAGTCGCGGACGAGGGC